ATATTTTTTGGTACCAGGGATCGAACTCGACCTTGTGCTTTTGAGGCAGTCGGTGGAACCATTGATCTAAATTCCTGGCCCTGTTGATATATTTTTTGACATAGTAATGTATTTTAATGTTACAGATCATATTGTAACTAATATGCCATCTAGTTGTAAGAAAACTTTTAGCATTTGGGGTGTTTAATGATGTAACTACTGTATTCACCATATATCCAAAACACTATATGAGAGAAAGAAAGATAGAAGGAAAGTCAGATCTAAACAAGGAGAATCAGAGGGACAGAAAGAGATCAAGCAAGGTGAGTAAATTTAACAGGCAGCTTTATGAAAAATGTGTTAAAATCAAGGGACGTCACTTTCTATTCTTATTCAGAAATTAATATGCCCATTAAGAACTGGTATCATTTTATACTGACAAGAATAATAAATATATACTGAATGGAAAATAGTATATCATTTTCTCTAGTCTTCAACTTGAAGCCACTGTTTCTTTGGGTTAGTCCAAAATGCAGTTCCTGTGCGAAATTCACTTGTGTTTCCTGCCTATTACAGACGCTGTGTGGGCTTAAGGGCCCAGAGAGGCCAGGACAGCAGCATTTGCAGTCAGATGTCAGTGAGGCTGCCGTCTCCTGAGCAGCCACTCGACTCACATTATTAAATTTAATTCTAACAGCAACTTCTTTTCACATGTGGGAAAACTAAGGCTCAGGGAGATTAACTCATTTGCTGAAGTATTTAAGCCAGGATTCAAGTGTAGTCCAAAGCCCATTTTATTTCTTCTAAATTAAAGGAAAAAAAGAAGTCCTTCCTTGAAAGACTGCATGATTTTCTTTATTATTGTGGATTAGTAGCTGTCTGTAAAATTCTGAAAGGTCTCATAAAGGTAAACTTACATCTGGTCTGTGGTTCAAAGAGAATATTCTTAACTAGATGGTAAAATGTTCATTCAAAGAGCTGAGCATAGAAACAGAACATGGATTGCTAATGACTTCCTGATGCAAGTATACTTTAAAAAATTTTAAATTGTGGGCATTTCATTACAAATATTTTTATTCTGGAAAATTGGAAATGCATAAGAGCACACAAAAAATTAACGTGCTTTTATCCAAATTTTAATAAAATTTCTCCTATCCTATTTTCTTTTAATATATTTTCCCAGAAATGTATCTATACTATGTATAAAATTTTGTATTATTTATCACTTAATACTATAATGTAGACTTTTTACCTCTTACTAAAAATCTTTCTTAAAGATCAGTTTAATAATGTGGCATGTGGGCACTTAAAAATTTTGTAAAAGATCATTTTAATATTTGTGTAATATTCTATTGCATAATTTAGAAAGACACGAAATATTCTCTTATTCACTAATTTTAGAATTGTTAAAGGAAATAGAAAGTAAGATAACTGTATTTTCTTTCAAAGAAAATTCTTCTAAAATAATTAATTTGCTTCAGATTAATATGTTTGCTCAGTGGAGTAAATTCATAGCAAACCTCTTTGGTTAAATCGTATACTTTTCATCTCAACTTTTGAAGAAATTTCGATCAAATTCTTTGATTCTGTAGTGGCTTGGGGCAAGAAATTGCTTACTTTATCTGCTTTTAAAAGGAATATTTGGTAGAAAAACTTTTTAGTTTTAATCTATTTAAAAATTTTTTGACATTGGTGGTTGAACCTAGGGCCTCATGTGTGCTAGGCAAGTGCTCTACCACTGAGCTACAGCTCCAGACTCTTTTATTTTATGTTAAGACAGGGTGGTGCTAAGTTGTCCAAGCTGGCTTCAAACTCAGGATCCTCCTAACTCAGTCTCTTGAATAGCTGAGATAGCTCTTTAGTTTTTGTTTTTCAATTGGCTAAAGAAAATATTTCAGCCATTATAGAAGATAATAAATATCTCATATCTTTACTTTTAAAGAATAAATATTTAATGAGGGCAACGTAAAGCATTAAAGAAAAAAATACATACATACATATCTATATATCTCTATCTCTATCTATCTATCTCTATCTATCTATCTATCTATCTATCTATCTATCTATAGAGAGAGAGAGGGAGAGGGAGAAGGAGAAGGAGAGAAAGAATGAATCAAGTCCTATCCTAGTTCTCCTGCTTAGGCATTTGTGCAAATTCAAGCAAATTACTCAGACTTAGACCTCATTCTTTCACTTGTAATAAGGTTTTGACTGGTAGAGCCATTGGATTCTACTCTTTAGATTTCATAGAGGATCAGGATGATCCTCTTATAGAACCAAGAGTATGTGTTACCAACCGGCTTATACCTAAAGTCCCCCAATTCCCGTGTTCTTAAGTTTGATTCATTTCCTGCCCACTTGGGAGTTGTCAGCAGGGCATCATCTTCACATTTCTACTAAAAATCAAGTAGCCAGATCTCTGAAGAAGGTAGTTTTCGGGAAGGTAGCTCTGAGACCCTTCCACAGTCTGCACATCACCACAGGAAGATGGCTGGTTTTTTCTGTTTCTGTGGTGTTAGCCCTGGACCCCAAAGATTATGTTTTGTGATATTTCTATTCTTTGGTATCTCAACATCCTGAGCTTTGAATGCTATACCAACATGCTTATGCAGATTATCTTCTTTAATCCTTTAGCTATAGTAAACTTTCATGAAGCATAATTTGTGAGGCTGTATGCCCTGCACACAAATACAGGTAGGTGCTCTATCTCTTCCAAGTCATCAGAATCCTTGAGAGCTGTGCCTAGTGGTAAGGGTATGCGGTAATCTAAAAGGTTAATTATTTTATCTACTAAGGACTTTCTCAAGCATCTTCCAGAGCAGAAATGTCTAAAACAACATTTCTGGATAATGAGGGGAAACATTTCTATTAATAAAAGCATGCAAGAATGGGGAGGCAATTGCAAAGAAGTGAAAGTGTAAGAACAGAATGCCAGGGGGAAGTAGTTAATAGAAAGGCTAATTTTTATTGTGTTTTGCAACAAATTCTACGGGAATTTTATATACCACTTCAGATAGAAAATGGTAGAAATTCATTATATCCACCTCTGTATTTCCACAATTTGTTCATGCCCATATTTAGCACTCCTGCATCTTGTTTGACTAACCATGGTTCATCTGCCTTTCCCAATACTGATCCTTGGTGATGGGGTTGGCCACCTATCTTCTGGCCCCAGCACTGGCATAGATATGGCACACTACAGGCTTCATAGCTCTTTGATTCTTTTTTTTTTAAAATGAAAGTCTGTGTTTACAAAAGTCAGTGTAAAGTAGATGCTTGTCAGCAGTCAGTGGCAGTTGAAAAGAAAACAAATCTAATCACAGAGAATCAGACTCAGAAATGGTGTATTCGTAGGAATGTGGTCAACACTGGCAAGGGCTGAAACTGACCCTTGTTGTCTTCTCTATGACCAAGAAGTAGATTTACTAGGTAGTGTTCACAAATTAAGTCCTTTTGATGAAAAGTAGGTATGAATAACACAGAAGATTTCTGGGTGCTATTTCAGTGGATCACTGATACAGACTGAGGAATGGAACAGGACAGCTGGTCTCATAGACGCTGATTTCCTTCACTCTGTAGCAGAGAAGCAGCTGATGGACAGAAATCAGCTGCAGCTTTGTCCCATGTCCAGAATTCCTTGGGTTCCCCGAGCTACTGGGTGACAGTAGCTCTATGCTCTAGCTAGACTGGCGTTGGTGTGGGGAATCCCACATGGAAACTTCTCTAGACTCACTCCTATCCTTACCTTCTGACACAGACTATCCTTGGATCACATCCTGCCCCATGGCTTGATACAGGTCCTGCCTAGCTATGCCCTTGGCTTAGGCATGGAAACCTGTTCTAGGCACTAACAGGCAAAGGAAACGTAATTAGATGACACGACAGACCCACACATATTCATTTGAATTTGTCCACTTGCTGCCATCTCTACTACCTTCAGGTTAATGAGTGCTCACTATGTTCTAGGTGTGGTACAATGTTCTTTACGGGAATTGCTGCATTTTTTCTTGACAAGGGCTCCATGAATGTACTCCAGTACACCTAGAAACATGACGAAATCAGTCAGCATGCATCCAAGGAGCAAGTACTTCCTCTAAGGATAATAAGATGAAAAGCTAGAATAGTTTGTGATTTGTGAGGCTGGATGCTATGGTAGAATTCACCTTGGAAGCTCATTTGAGGTTATAGACACTGAAATAGGAGTAAGGGTTGTTTAAACAGGAGAAGAAGCTTATGATTTATGTACTTTCCATTTCCCATTTAAACTGTGGAGATGCTGATCTGGATAGAAACCATGCAGAGAAACCTTAGTCTGAAGTGTCATTTCACTCCAGTCTCTTCAGTGCTATGCAGTATGGTTGCAAGATGTGCTACAGTGTAAATTAAATGCTACTGTATTGTGAGATATATTTATTTGGTGTTTTTGTACTCTGTGGAGGTACTTTGTGTTTATTACTCAACATGTTCTATATTTATCATTGATTCAATTGGGCACTGACATACTGACATTGAAAAGACAGAGCAAGATTATATCTCAGAGTAAAACATGCAAGATAGGAAATGGAACTTAGGAGTAAATACTGATACCTGTGAGTAAAGAAGCAATGTTCAGTTTGCTTTACATGCTCCTTAAAGAGCCTATTACATTTATATCTATGTACGCTATTTCTCATTGCAAAACTAGCCAGTGCTTGTTTAATATCTTCAGGTTTTACTGATGACTTGATTTTTCCAGAAAGGCCAAGAAGAATAAGAAAACAATCACATAAGCAAAGGTACATCACCTGCCCTGATTGTCATTGGCCTTTCCCCCCAAAAGAAGGCCTCTAGTTGTTCAACCCTAGTATCAAAGCAATAATGCGTTCAGGCTGTCATGTGTGGTATTTGCCTCCAAATTGTGGGCTAAAGATATGTCAGGACATGAATGGAAAATTCCCTTCTTGAGAAAAATATGTTCATGTTCTTGTATGACATGAAACACACTTACTGCCCCACAGATTATTTCTTTGTCCACTGACCTCTTCCTTTTGCTTCAGAGTTACTTACAAAGAAATGAAATGGAACTGGGTTTTATATAAAAATAGTGGATCTTTCTTTTTTCTTTTTCTGAGTTGAAAGATTTCTTTTCCTGACAGAAAGATTTGCTGCCACCTATATCTTTAGGCTTTACATAGCTGATAAACAGCTCATGGATTATACAAACATAAGTGCATTTCCATTATCTACTCCCAGCAAATTACAGCCTGCCAGTAGAACTACTGTAGCAGAGAGCAGGCATTCAGTTTTAAACTGTCTTCCTTTTCTTAAGTCCTTAAAATAAGGCCATGATTCTTCACATTTAGTTGATAGGAAATGCTCAGGCTGAATGCACACAGGGAAATTGCAACCTATCTCTGTCCTTCCCCTCCCCTCTCCATTTACTGGGGTACTTTGCTGCATTGCGGTCCTGCACAGCTCTCAGGAAGCGAGAGCCATGGGCTGGGGGTGGAACTGCATGCCAAGCACAGTGCCTTTTTTATAGCTAAACCACGGATTCTTGCTTGAGGTCATTTTTTACATTGTATTTTGATTTTATAGAGCTGCATTTGGTAAGAGAATACACATTGCTGAGATGAGTGCA